AGTCGGCCTCGCCCTCCTCTTCGCCTTCATCCTCCCCAACTCGCCGGACGGCATCAAGTCCCTCTCAGACACAGAACGGGCATGGGTCAAGTTCAACTACGAAAAGGACCAGGGCCAGAGCGACGACCGCTCCGAAGTCTCGGCGCGGCAGGGCTTCGTGCTGGCCGTCCGCGACCCCAAGACGTGGCTCATGCTCGCGACGCTGTACTGCATCTTCACGTCGGCCGGCGTGACCAACTTCTTCCCGCCGGTGGTCGCGACGCTGGGGTACTCGCGGACGGTCACGTACGCGTTGACAGCGCCGCCGTTCATCCTCTGCTGCGCGACGATGCTCGCCAACGGCTTCCACTCGGACCGCGCGGGCGAGCGGTACTGGCACGTCGTGGCGCCGCTGGGGGTGACGCTCGCGGCCAACATCATCGCCGTGTCGACGCTCAACGTCGGGGCGCGGTACACGGCCATGATGCTGATGCCGGCGTCCTTCTACGCGGGGTCGACGGTGCTGCTGTCGTGGATCGCGGGGACCATCAACCAGCCGGTGACGAAGCGGGCGGCGGCGATTGCGCTGATCGTGTCGGTGTGCAACACGCCGAACGTGTGGACGCCGTACCTGTACAACGGGGCGCCGCGGTATTTTGCCGCGTTTACGGTGAATCTGGTGGCGGCCGGGGCGGCGATTGTGACGGCGACGGTGACGAGGATGTATCTGAGAAGGGAGAACCGGAAGATGGACGACGGGAAGGAGCTGGGTGTAAGCGGGCCGACGGCGGCGCAGCGGGCCAGTGGGTTTAGGTATATGCTGTAGATGTATGGGAAGTGAGCGTAATATAAGAACAGGTTGTATGAGTCACACGTTGAATCTAGGACAAGACACCAACTAACACGACAATATCATATTGAGAACGTGGTCACTGGACAATTGAAGACGGAGAAAGAGAGCCAGTTGATGCTGTCCCAGTGAAGCCCAGTGGATTCGGGCCCCTGATGTGCCCTTCTCCACACCGGCTGCAGCGCCCTTCTGGCCCCTCTGCCAGTAAGAAACAGGGGTTTTGTCAGGCAGTCCCGGCTCCTTGATTTCTTCTCCTCAGCTGCCCGTTTGCATCTAACTGATGCTTGCCAACTACACGCATTCGAGACGGCCTTTATCATAAAGCGGTTAAAGTGCTTGCGGATTCTCGAATTGGGCCACTCGAATACAGATGGATCGCGCTGCTTCTACCCGAGCACAGCCGCTGAAGATTGTTCCGTATCAAACACCAGGACAAACACCCGGCCAGAAACGCAAACGGAGAGGCACTCTCGGTGACGGCCAGAATGGGCCATCTTTGAAGATTAGAAATGCCTGCATGACCTGTAGAGAGTGAGTTGATCTATTTCACAAGCATGCTCTATTACTGAAGCCCTCCAAGAAAGAAGACTCGCTGTTCCGGTCACTTGCCATGTATCCGCTGCCAGCAGCACGACCAGCCATGCCAGTACATGCCGACGACAGCATCGCCGTGTCCGCCAGAAAGACGTCCACGAACAACACTCTCAGCACCATCGCCAATCGCAACGGCGACGACAATCTCCTTCGAGCAACAGCACTCACACGGCGCCCAGCCAGATAGCCTTCATGACTTCTCACCAACACAGCCGTCACCACCGGCGAATGGGACCTCCAGCGAGACTCCCGACGGGCCGCTTCAGGAGGACCAGTACGGCCACTTCCACGGCGGCGCCTCCGACTTTGCCTTCCTCCACATGGCCAAGCAGAAACTCGCCCGTCTGCCGTCAATGTCGATTCACTTTTCCGACTATCCACTCGCCGAGTCTGGCAACCTGCCGCCGATTCTTCCTCCGAAACCCATCGCCGACAAGCTGATTCGGACCTTCTTCGACTTTGGCCTGACCACGTCGCGGTTCGTGCATGAGCCGACTCTGATGGAGTCCTTTGAGAAGCTCTACAGCGACGGCGAGGGCGACAGTCTTAACAACGATAGCTTGGCACTGATCTACATGGTACTGACGCTTGGCTCTCATTACTCGAGAGTCAACAACATGTATTGCGGTTACTCTTCCAGGTACATCATAGGCCATCATCCCTCCAAGTTCAGACTGACACTCATCGATGAAGCGTCCGATTTTACCACATGGCCGACCGCCAGCTCCAGAGAGAATCCAGCAAGATCACGTTTGCATCTCTTCAAGCGCGGCTGCTCGCGACCCACTACCTTCTGAATCATTCACGCATGCATGAAGCCTGGTCCTCGTTCGGCATCGTCGTCCGCCACGCCCAAGCCCTCGGCCTTCACCGCCGTTCCGTCGGCCCGCTGAGCAATCATATCACCCACGAGTATCGAAAACGACTGTTCTGGGCCATTTACGTCAACGACCGAATCATCAGCAGCATTTTCGGCCGTCCATGCGCCATTCACGACGACGACGTTGACCAAGACGAATGCGCCTTGGCCAACGACGACGACATCACCGCAGCGGGTTGCCGAGTTGCCCCCAACGGAGACTTCTGCTCTGCCGCGGCACTCATCCACTATGCTCGCCTCTCCAGGATACTAGGCAAGATCCTCAGAAGGTTCTACAGCCCTGCCGCCCGGAACAATAGCATCACCCAGCTACACCAGTTTGCGGCCGAGTTCGAGAAGAGTCTGCTGGACTGGCAGGACAATCTCCCCGCGTACCTCAACTACGTCGCCCTGCCCCCATCAGCGCTATCTACAATGACCCAACGCCAGACGTGCACCCTGAAACTCATGTTCGCGCACGCCAGTCTCCTGCTCTACCGCCCTTTCATTCTCTACTCCATGGACCCTGCCACCGGAGCCGTGTCAAGACTCGAGCAGTGGGTCAAGAGGTGTCACGACAAGTCCATCGAAGCGGCCAGAGTCGTCGTCAACGAGTGCCGCTACCTCTGCCAGAGAGGACTCTTCTCGAGGGCGTTCTGGCTGGTCAACTACATGCAGTTCGCCGCGCTGGGCACTCTATATATGTACTCGCACCTGTGGCCCGAGGCGACACATGTCAGAGAGACGGCAGAGGAGGCCATGGCTGAGTTCCCGGTCGGTGTGCAAGGCGACTTGGTGGGGCAGCGGTATGTCGAGATACTAAGTGAGCTGCGAGAGGTGACGGCGAAGACACCGTCAGCGGGGATGGACCTGCTAGCGAGTGCGTGCACCGTCGACGAGATGCCAGCGTTTGAGACGTCCTTGATGGACTTTGGTGGGCCGTGGTCGAATCTCTTCTTTGATACTTCCGCTATTGATGAGTATGTGGATGTAGACGGCAGGTAGTCGATTGCATGAGCAACCACCGCCGGCATTCACTACTCTCGTACAAAATGGATTACAGGCCAAAGAAGCTCCGGCAGTGCTTTTCCCCGGAATACTAGCCCGTATTGACACCATGAGACCCCAACGTTGGCATCCCGAAGAATCTGCAGCACGCACACGGCTTCTCCGGGGAACGATTCCAGAATTACCGGATTAGGAAATCAACGACTTCCCCGGGAATCAACCCCGCCCCCGCCTCCAGGCGATGATTCGGGGAACACTGCTCATTACTGTATCCGGCAATCACTCGTGGCACCGTCTCCCAGCTGACCATCCGATTCGACAAGATTCGAGGACATAAAGACGGAAGATGCACGTAGGACTTCAAGATGGATGCTTGTCAACTTGGACACAAAACTGCTCGCTTCATAGGTAACAGTTGAACGTTTACCATAGATACTTGTGTTCAAATACATCAGACGAGTCGTCGACATCGCCAACATGACTGAAGTCCTCGGTTACAGCGCTCCTGACATCCACTCAAAACCTGTGTTCTCACAGGAAAAGTCCGTGGTTCAGGAAGATGAGAAGCTCTCGTTGCATGGAAACGGGGGTATCCTCGACGATGTCAGGCTACTCCAACCCGTTTACCCTGACACTCCCATCGAGGAGATCCAAAAGAGATACTGGCAAGACGGTGTCGTCTGGGTACGCCTTCCTCCCTCCGCCTGATACACCCACTCACTAACACGAGCCCACAGGTAAAAGGCCTCCTCAACCCGGACATGGTCAACAAAATGCGCTCAGACTACCTCACATTCGTCAACAACGGCACCGGCATGCTGAAGCCCGGCACCGACCCCGCAGACGGCATCTTCTCCGGCCTCGACTGGCGCGAGTTCCTCCTGCCCGGCGCCGTCCGCGTCGCCTGCGGCCTCAAGGACGAAGGCCCGTTCGTCGACAACGCCATCGCCAGCCACAGCGCCGCCTTCTACCAGGACTTCAAGGACAAAGTCGGCCGCGAGCTGGAGCCTTTCGTCGGCAAGCTCGCCGGCTTTGAGGAGTCCTGGTGTCTTCCGCGGTCTTTGCTGCGGTGCGCCGTGCCGGGCGGCGAGACGACGCCCGTGCATTACGACCAGATCTTCCTGCGCGCGGGGCCGCCGACGAGCGTGACGGCGTGGGTGCCCATCGGCGACGTCGAGCTGGAGGGCGGCGGGCTGATTTACCTGGACCGCTCGGCTGAGATTGGTAAGAAGTATGAGCAGGACTTTTCGAGGGTTAATGCGAAGCTGCCCGACGCGGACAGGATCTCGGCGTTTAACAGGAACATGGAGAAGGGCGGGTGGCTGGACAGGAACGCGAAGAAGTTTGGGGAGCACTGGTCTCGCGGCTGGCTTGTGGTGAGTCTCGCGTTCTTTCAGATTTCTTGTGATTACTGACGATGGTATTCCGCAGGGAGCGTACGAGGCTGGTGATGTGGTGTTTCATACTCCTTACGCTGTCCATGCTGGGGCGATGAACCAGTCGCCAAAGGGCCGCATCCGCGTGTCGACGGATTTGCGGTTCGTGGACAAGACGAAGCCGTATGATGAGCGGTGGACGTACATCGCCTACTCCGAGAATGATCCCAACGTTGCAAGCAGGCAGCCAAAGAAGTCTGAATGAGATATCCTTGTTAACTGAAGAATATGTACATTTCCTTAGCCAATGTATGTGTCAACAGATGGACACTTTTCATTCCTCTTGGCCCTCAGGCTTCTGTCCATAAACAACATAACTTCCAACAACGTCAGCCATAATCCTCAAATCGCAGTGGACGGTTGACTTACTAGTTGAGGTAACCGTGAATGTTACCAGCCTTGAGCTCTTTACGAACCCCGGCCAGAAACACCAGCACCTCCTCCGGTTTCCACCCACGAACGCCGCAAAAGAGCTTCATCGTGAACCCCTCAAGCCCGTCCAGCGTTTGCACCAGATTACACATGCCCACATCCCTCAAGTGCGGATCCTTCGCCCACGGACCCAGGGGCACTTTGAAGTCCTGGCGGCGCACGTTGCGGAACCCGGTCGCCCTGACCCAGTCCTCCAGCTTCGGGCCCGGGGCGGCCTCGCGGTTGAGCATCTTGCAGGTGTCCATCATCAGGTCGTTCCAGCGCCAGACCTCCGTGCCCTCCAGCGTGCCGTCGTCGCAGTCCAGCATAAAGTTGTAGTCCTGGAACTCGGCCCAGCCGCTGGGCTTGACATTGCTGGCAGCATGTCATGTTAGAAACGCCGCTGGAGAAGGCGGATGGACGTCGGGCCAAAAGACGGCGACACGTACTCGTAGATGTTTCTCACGTATTTAGGCCAGTCGGTGAGCGATGCGGCCATGTACCGGCTGAAGATGAAGTCGTAGGGCTGGTTGCCGACCCACGTATCTTCGAGGTCGTCAATTTCGAATTTCACGTTCGGTGGCACCTTGCGCTGCAAGTCAGTGACACGTCCCTTCCGAGCATGCGATCCCGGGAGTGTACCATTGCGGCTGGATCGCACTCAGATCGTTACCGAAAATCTTTTGATGATCCGACTTGTCAGTGTTTGGGCAGTAGGGAATGACTCGGAGATCATACTTCGGCGTTGGGAAAGAAGTCTGCCATCTCAATGGCCCCTGGGAGTCTAAGCAACGAACTCATAACGGGAGTACTCGTGTCTTACAAATGCCGGTTCCAGTACCGCAATCGAGAATGCGTTGTATTTCGGGCTTCAGAGGTGCGAGGTAAAGTTCATAGCCAATTGCCTTGACTTGCATGCTATGGGTCAAGTCAAGGCGATTAATCTCGCTCTGAGACGGGAATTAAGTTTGAACATCAATATCTTGGATAAATAGGCGAGTACCTCGTCATTGGGGAAGTTATACGCTGAATTCATCTCAGTAACATGGTCATCGCCAGCGATATTCACCAGGGACTTACCTCCCGCTCGGAACGCAGATAGCGCCGCCCATACTCGGTTGGATAGTCGATGACAGAAGTAGTCAACGACGCCGTGTAAGAGGAGCTAATTAGCGCTTCAGTAACACCGCCGTGGGTTATTCGAAGGCATGCAAGCCTACATTTGCTCGTCAATCGAGCGGCCATCAACCTGGCTCAAGTGTCAGATGGACATGCGAAGTAGTATATTTCAGATCGATAGATGACGAACGCTGGGCGTATCGTCCACGTCCAGTGGAGCAGGCGCCGGGGCGTCGCCGGCTGCCGAAGTCCGGGATTGCGGGGACCGAGGAGATTTGGTAGGCGACCGGCTTTTCGGAGGAGACTCCGGCACCCGGGCTCCGGGACTCGCCGTCGTATTCTCAGCCGCTGCATCAGCCATTTCAATTCAAATATCACTATATTGGAACAAAGAAACCAGAAATCTAGACTGGAAAGTTTCCCGGGATGAAGGAGGGGCACAGGGTTTTATAATTCGCAGCTTGGCTCCTTTTTTCCAGTGGATGGCTCCTCTGCAGTTCTGCGGCGTCCTGCAGAACGGGCAAGGGTTGTTTGCTCTTTTCGATCGGCACCCTTGCTTTTGGAGCGGGGCATTGCGTGTTCATTATCGTGTTGTCATATCTTCTCAAAAATATCAGGTCGAATCGGGGCATGTTCGCCGTGGAAGTGCGCCGGCGGATTGGTTCTCCCCGAAAGCGAGTACATACACGAGTGCATACGATTCACATCACACGGTTGGAGGAAAGTCTAGACCTAGAAGAAGAATCCCAATCGCTTTTCATGCGCGCCGTATCATCCTAGAAGCTGAAAATGCGCCAAAAGGCAAACCGCTGCAGGCCGCTCCGCAATGTCTATCTGCATGCTTTCTGTCCAAGTTGCTCCCGCTCAAATATCGTACAAACGCCCAAACACACCTAGAAGTTCCACCTTCTGTCGTCGAAACCGCCGCAGTATCCGCATCCGCAATTGAATCCGAACTTATAATACAACACCGATGGATCTTTACCGTAGCTGATGGTCAGCTCGTCTCCCTCCTCGATAACCCAAGCGCGGACCTGAAATACCAGTACCTCCTCCTCCGCATCGTATTTGTAGCCCACCTTGGGGTTGCAGGAGTGATTAAAGCGAGCTGCGATGGGGAAGAGGCCGGCAACATCCCTACACGCCCCCGAACCCTTCTTACGGGTCGAGACGGTGTCCTTGGGGAGCTTGGATGCGAACCTGGGTAATAGTTCAGCAGGACATTCGGAAGAAAAAAAGAAATGGAAGGGACGTACGCATTGGTGTTCCAAACAGCCTGCGCCTTGCTCTCTCCATCGCGACCGAAATGGGCATGCAAGTCATTGGCGACCTTCTGTTCGTGCTCGGGTAGTCTCAGGACAGACGATTCAACGTCCTCATAGGTCGCATGGTAGAGAGCCTTCTCAACGAGGATTTGGTCTCCCTTGTCCAACTTCCTCGTGGCAAATGCGCCCCAGCCAGCTACAGGGGAGCGGCGGACCTCGAAGAAGTCGTTCTGGAAAATGACGGGCCTGTCTTCCTCAAAGCCGTCTTCACCCTTCGTGGCCCTCAAGAGCGGAAGACCGGCGGGTTTGAGCGTCTCAAGGTCGTGGCCGAATCCGGCACTGGCGATGTTAGATCAATCTTCTTTTCATAGGTAGTCATCCGACTTACCTTATCAGCTCCATAGACTCATCATCTTCCTCGCTGGTTATGTCTGTGTCGCTGACCTCTTTCATATCAAAGGGCGAGAGGATGTCGTAGTACTCGTAATCTCCGTCGTCCTTGTCATCCTCGTCGTCCTCGTCGTCCTCGTCCTCGTCGCCGTCATCTTCGTCGTCGGGTTCTGCCCCGATTACAATGCCACGCACGAGTGGGATCGATCTCCAAGTTACATGCTTGCTAGCCATGGGCTGGAGTTTCGATCCCACGGCCTCCGAGAACACCATGAAGTCCTCTTTGAGGTCCTGTGGTCATGGTCAGTTTAAGGGGTGGGAACGGGTGTGAGCGCGTGACTAACCTTGAGTCCAATCTGCAGATGAAGAGAAAGAAGCTCGTTTACCCTTCTTGAATCGCAACTCAATGGCAGCATTGCGTCCAAATCCATCAAGAGAATCTTCTCGCTGGTCCGGCTATCTCTATCATATGGTCTGGGAAGGTCATGGGCCGACGGCTCGCCTATTGCAAGCGGCGGCAGCATCTTCGCGGGCTGAGAACCACGCCGTGATTTCTCGACAGGTATGAAAGCTTTGTTGCGGATATAAATCTATGGGAGAGCGAACGGGATATCTTAATCCAAAAGAATGTAAATGATGTGTAGGTATGGAAATGAGTGCTCGGCGAAATTAGAAAGAGCATTAAATATGTATGTCTGAATTGATCGCCCAGCTGTTGGCAAGCGCGATAATACTGTGCGTCTTTCCTACTGACGATTCGTCGAGCATCGGAAGGTAGCACTCTGGGTAGTGTGTACTGTCGTCACTGTGACAGAGGCGATCGGAAATGAAGCAAGTTGCAGAAGAGTTTCGGATATCGTCCCTGTCGTCCCTGCCGCCTGTGTGGATGTCGACCGGGCAGTAGTAGAGCTCTGGTCAAGGCTTATCAGTGACACCTAACTTTTCGGACGGCGCCTTCTGTTGATTGAAAGTGGCTTGAGTTTTGTCGTTGTCGTCGTCGTCGTGTAGCCAGTCGTACTTGACACTGGTGACGAAATATGCTCTTGGGCAGGTTGCCAACGGTAAGCGGAAGCCGCGATGTGAAGCTGGAAGGAAAGTCCAGGTCTCGTTGTGTGCGCAGGAGTTTTAAGAGCTGACAAGAAATATTCGAGGTAGCCTTTCAGTGGGAGGGCAAGCGAGGGCCGTAAGATGAAGAGCCAATAGTGTAGGTAGAAGGAAGTAAGGGCAAGATGTGCCGTTGAACTTGTCGCGACTTCTGATAACTCCGAGTAGTTGCTACTGTGTCAAAGGGTTATGCAAGAGCTTGAGGGCAACCAGTCATATTATTGTGTCTTTTTGGTGTTGAGGCGAGGTTTATCGGGCTGTGATGTGTGTTGCCGATGTTGTTGTTGTGTATTATGCGATAGACAAAACACGGGAAGCTGCTACTTCTCACAACTTCCCGGTCCCTAGTAAGAGCAGATGTAATTGAACCGCTGCAATGAAGGAAGGAAGCGACCGGGGGCTTCTGCTATGACCTATAAATTCAGCTCGCTGATATCTCTTGTTCGTTACGAGGCCGCATCATTGGCAGCATCGTCGATAGTTATTGTGGTTGTTGCTTGTAGAGGCTGATCCACCGCTGCTCTGGTGGTGGTAGATTCTACGTGGTGATGTGCGTTGGCGTATGTTTGTCCTTTAACTCTCTTGTCCTTTGAGTATGCACGACTATACTCCAATAGAGAAGTCCGAAAGCATGGCGCACACATTGAAAAGAGACGCGGCTTGCCAGTATGGAAGGAGGGAGTGGTGCCAAACCCACAGGTGGATGTGGCAAAGCTCGCTTCACTCTTTTCATGGGGAGAAATAGACAACAGAATGACAAGCACAGCAATCTGGAAGCCAAGCATTTTCAGTTTCCCATGCGCAAATATAATTGGAGGTTGCCGATTTTGTGAAGCACATGCATCAGTGGGTTTAATGTGAAAACAGGGTAATTGAGAAGAGCTTCGATTCCCGTCATGTTTGGGGTCAACATCACTCAGAGCAGTGGGTGAGGTAAGCCGTTTGAGAACGGTAGCTGCCAGGTCTAAATGGTTTGTCCACGATAAGTTGGCCATTCGGCTGACAGAACAAGCTTCTGGTAAAGATTTACTCAACTGCCAAACAGCAAACTTCTGCAGGGCCACATGCTTAGGCCCGCCGCAGCTTGGCTTAGGAAGGCGTTTGCAACCCACGAAATCTCAAGAGGCATTGCCGAGGTACAATATATAGCAAGGTACAGATATAGAAAAAGACTAAGTAACCCTAATAGATATAACCTAAAGTATAAATATAGAAGTACTATACTTAGTACTAGAAGATATAGAGGTCTTAAGAGAGATAAAAATGAAATAAATAAAGTATAAATAACTTTTCTTTATAATAACTTTAGTTACTAAAGTTATAAGAACCTTATTTTATATAAGGAGAGTAGTAATAAAATAAATAACTAATACTCTATCTATTAATTAATATAATAGTAAACTAATAACTTAATAACTTTAATAATAACTTTAACTTAGAGAGTACTATATATATTAACCCTTAAGTAACTATTTAAAATATATAAAAACTATAATTAAGAGGAGTATAAAGGTTCTTTATAAGTACTACTAAACTTAGTACTAGGAATATTATTACTATATTTATTTTTAGTACTTACTTCTAGAAATAAGCTAAGTTATAACTAATAAACTTATAAACTTAAGTTCTAAACTATATTTATAGGAAGTATTAATAGGGGGTAATAGATTAAATAGAGTAGAATCTGTTAATATATAACATTCTTTTATAATAATAATAATAATATAAGAATAATAATAACGCTTAACTTACTTTAATATTCTATATAAAATAAACAAATAAAGTTTAAGGTACTAAACCTTATATAAAAATACTCTATTTATTATAACCTATAACTATAATATTAATTATATAATATATATAGTTATATAAGTACCTTATATAATTAGTAGTTTAGTAGGTTACGTTTCAGATTATCTTTCCCCTTATTTTTCCCTACTAGAGGAAGTAACCTACTAACTATATAAGTAATAATAACTAGAGTTATTATAATATATTAATTTCTTTATTATTATCTATACGATTAAATACTTATAAATACTTAGGATTATCACCTTTTATCATAACATAAGCCTATCTATAACCTTATACTATATAGGCGTATATACTACGCCTCTGAATACGCTTATACTTATACTAACAGAATCTTATTATAATTCTCTAGAGTAATAAATATACTACCTATAGAGCTACTCTACTAAAGGCTTTATTAATTACTTAGATCGTATAAGAAGGGTAGGATAAAGAGTTAAGGGATAAAGTAGTATATTAAGACTAATATAAGAAATTTAAATAAATAACAGGCTACTTATACCCTAAGGTAGGGGGAGGGTTTAAGAGGTATTACAGATATAAATAAAGGTTATATTCCTTAATATAGACCTTACTATATACTACATAAAGAATATAGGCCTCTCACTTATCTGCTACAAATTAAAGAGACCTAGTTCTTATATACTTAAGAAAACAGAGTTAAGCTTCATCTATATAGCCTTATAAATTCAAAGAAAGAAGAGTAGTAAACTAAAAAAACTATAGCAAAATTCCACGCCCTTTTTTAATACTAAACACCTATACTAATTATAATAAATTAACTTAGATATATATTATATATATATCCCTGAGAACTAGTAAAACTCTACGCGTAGGTTTTATAAGGCCTACTGTTCTTACTAGGTAGATTATCTATTTATCTAGTCCTCCCCTAGTAGCTAAGAGGTACTAATTTAACCCCTATAATCTAATATACCCCCTTAAGGATAATTACTATAATTATATAGTTATCTCTATAGTTTAATTAAGTACTTCTAAATAGCTTTAATTACTTCCTATTATTATAATTTTAGTTATTTTATAAGTTATAAAATAATAGTTTTCTCACTATAAGTAGTTAGAGTAGTAGAATAAAGTACTATCTACTTTACTTAATTAGTTTAAAGCTTCTAATTAATTATAGTTTTACTTACTACTTTAGTTCTTCTTAAAAGTAAGAAAGTAAGTTAATAATATTCTATTACCCTTACCTTTTATTATTTTTTTTCTTTTTTTCTTTTAACCTTTTAAGAATTTATAAATTATATATTAATTTTATACTACTTTTTTTACTACTATATTAATATTTTAATTAAGTAGATTAAATACTTTATAATATCTTCTTATAATACTTTTAATATTAAGTATAAAACTTATCTTAATATTATACTTACTAACTATATATATATTTCTAAGACTTTTAAGCTTTATTACTCTTACTATACTAATTTTCTCTCTTTTATTTCCTCTAATAATAAAGAGGAGGATAAGCTACTCTCTCTCTTAAGCTTTAGTTATTAGTTTTATTCTTTTTTATAATTTTTTTCTATTACTAATTTTTTTTTTTTAGCTACTACTATCTCCTCTATTATATATCCTACTAGTTATAATAAATACCTTATTCTTAAACTTATTAAAGAGGAGGACCTTAATAATAATAAAGTTAAGGAGACCTTTATTAAAAAGAAATATAGTTACCCCTCTAATACTTAATACTAAGCTAAGAAAAAGACTAAAGAGAAGAAAGAGATTAAAGAAGCTAAAGCTCTTACTATCTCCCTTATTAAGTAGAAAAAGAAGGATTATATTATTATTTACTTTATTTAGTATATTATTATTAAGAAGAAGAAATAAGAAAAAGAGGAGGTAGCTTTTTAAGCTATTTATACTAATATAAAGGCTATTACTAATAAGGAGATTATTACTACTATAAGTGAGGAAGAGGAGGAAGAGAGTAAGGTTATTATAGGTACTAGTAACCTTTTTAACTCTATAAACTCCTTCTTTAAGTTAGAGGATAAGTTCTACTTTAACTACTTTTTCTCTTTTAGTAGAAGCTATTTATATTTTAGCTACTACTTTCTTAATAAGAATACTTATTATTATTACTATATAAAAAGTAGTAGCTACTTTATAAGTATTAAAGAGATTATTACTTTCTATTATATATTTTATAAAATAAAGAAGTATATTAAGAGTAATAAGTTTATCTTAACTAAAATATAAGTTATCCCCTACTAAATATTTCTATATAGTTATTAATTTCTTATAGAGAATTAATATTACTTAAGAAAACCTTTAGGATATAGCTTATAAAGTTATTATAACTTATAAAGCTACTAAGAAGAAAAGTATTACCCCTCTTAAGTATATTTTATATATTTACTACTCTACTTTAGTTCCTATACCTCCTATTATTATACTTCTTATTATTATACTTCCTCTTTATCTAGAGACTTTAGTCTATACTTTTCTTACTCTCTTAAGTATTTTCTTTAGTTCTTATTCTACTCTTAGTTATATTTAGAGTATTATTATAGCTACTTATTATAACCTTAATTATACCCTCCTCTATACTTTTAAGTTTAATTATATTAACTTTAAGGAG